GCCGCGCTGCCAGGGGCTGGTCCTGGGCTGCCCGGGCGCCGTTTGGGTCAGGCTTTTTGTCTTCTCCTCCGCTTTTTCCTTTTTTTCCCCCCCTTTTTTCCTTTTTTTATTTATTTTCCCGCACCCCTGCCGTCCTTTCCATGTAGCAAAGCATCAGCAAAGCCGGGGCGCTGCAACGCTTTGGGGCCTACACGCAATGATTAATTGCAACTTCTCCAACTTTCCTCTTCTGGTGTTTGTGCAAGATCAGAAAAGATGAGTCCGTGGGCAAAAGTCAGAGGGAACTTGCTCATTTTTTCCTCTCTCTTGCAAAGCTCTCCCCTCAGCTTGGGGTGCTCGCCTAGAGCCAGAGCCGGGGGAGGCTGCTGAGATCTCTTCTGCTCTCACAAGGAAACGCTCAAGCACGGATCATATTGTCTCTCTGTGCTTCTGGAGTCACGTCTGGTTCTCAGTTGTCACTTTAGATGGTTGAATGCCCCTGTTTTTCTGTGTAGCGGGAGTAGTATGTTTAAAGATTCAATTAGTGTTTTGCAAATCAAGCAGTGAAGTTATTTAGTTTAATTATGTTGCATTTAATTAGCAGAGAAAAATCAATGCTGTTTTGTATTTTTTATTGTAAGGAATAGCTAGGCAGTTTCCTACTGGGGAACGTAGGGTAGCAGCCTGAGTCAGGATGTGCGAAGTACAGCGTTCAGGCTTTCCAGGACAGCAGCCACCGATTTAGGAGAGATTCCTGTTTCAAAGGAGTAAAGTTGGTAGCAGTGCTTTCTGGTTTTGATCATTCGATCCTGGTTTGTTCTGCGCTGCACTGTGTATGAATATGTTCTCCTGTGGTACGGGTTCTGGAGCGGCCTCCAGGAATAAGCAGACTTGGCTGCCTGGCAGCCGGCTTTTAAGTGCAGTACGCAGGCACGTTTCCAGCTCTTAGCGCTAAGTTACTGTCTAACAAGTGTGCATCACATCATGGGACAAATGTTATTCCAGAAATATCATAGGTTAATCTGATGCACGATCCCTTACATAGAATCGCAACATAACGCTTTGCTTTGGGATTCTGGCTATGTCTTTTCAATGCTTACTGGTATATCGCTGCAACTGTTTGTCTGGGAAGCGGGTAACTGAGTAAGAAGGTGTTAGCAGCATATATAGACCTGGGGCCAGCTCTAAAATAATTGCCACTTGTTTATGCTAGAGGTGAATTTGGCTTGGGATTTTAGTAACTGCTGATAGCGCTGTAGACAGTAATTACAGATGTATAAATAAGTGATCACGTTTTGTTTATTCGCGTGCAGTAAATAACCCTGTGAGAATAGTAAATATAACTCCACACCAGCGAAGCAGCGTGAAGAGTTCAAATGCGGGAAGATGACTCTGTAGACACATACAAACGCAGTGCGGTTCCATAAACAATAGAACAGAAAGGCCAAAAATACCATACAAAAATCATACGCTGCGCAACCTAGAGACCCGACCTTGCAACACACTGAACTCCCATTGAAGAACTCAAGACATCATGCAGGATCCATCCCCAGGTCAGTGCTGTAAATGTACAGTTTTGAAGATGCAATGGGTGAAGCCTTGATGTGGAGGCATTCTGTCTAGTGGGTGTGTATCGTAGTGATGATTTGCTGAACAAGAGAAACTGTAAATCTGGGAAACTGTCCTCTTTCAACTGCTCGTGCTTTCATTTCTTTAAGAAGGGTATTTAAAAAAAAAAAATTAAATCCAGTCCAAATATAAACTGGAGGAGAAGAGATGGGGAAGGGGAGGGGAGGAGGGCTGGAAGCCAGCTGTTTCAGTGCAGTACAGTCTTGATCACCGTTTCTGAGTGTTTGAACTTCTGATTGACACAAACAGTTTGGTTAATAGCGTCACCGAATAAACACAGTCTGTAATACTGCAGTAATTCTGGGATAGTATTTGTCAAAATGTATACAGTAGCAGAACAAAGGATACAGAGTCATGAAACAAACACTATGAGGTCTAAGGTCTGCGTATTTGTGTACATTTGAATTTGTTTTTTTCTTATGGGAACGGAAATAGAAGCAAACCCCATTATGTTGTAAATAAAATAGGCTGTTGCCAGATAACAAGCCATCTTGACACTTCGGAATTGGCTTGGGCTTTGGTTTAATTCTCATGTTCATCTAGTCAGGCTGCTGGGAAAAGAAGTGTTACCTTATAGGGTTAGATCCCTAGAGGTCTTACATACATCTGCTCCCTGGGTCCTTAAATGAAACACCTTGTCGGCACTTAATAAAAACCAATAATAAACGATTAGAGATAACAGCTACCATCCTGGCCACCAAGAAGAGCGGGCAAGGCTCCCCCTGGAGCCTCTCTGTACTGTTGTTTAATCAACAGAAGGGTCACTGTAGAGCGATTCAGAGCACTGCTTTGGAGTGAAGGGGAGCCATCTGGTAATGTAGAATAAGACGGTATATTTTGTTTTCACTAGTATTAGACTGCCTGTTTCGTTAGGCTCCAGCCAGGAGACTTCCAAATACTTTTTGGAAGCAGAATCCCCATTGACTTGAAGAGAAGGAATGGCATCTAGTGTTGGTATTTCGTTACTGTAGAACTGTGACTTTTTGTCTTCGCTTTCAGGAGATATTTGCTCCCACCCTAGTTAGTCTTAGAGTTTTGATCTAAAATCCAAAATAGGGATGCCAAGAAAGAGTGGAGAAGGTCACGGATTCTCCTTGGGTTTCCTGTTACCATGGCAATACATGAATTCCGGTATTTATTTACCTGATGGATTACGTGCTTCAGGGAGTTGAACTATTCTGCATCATTCAGTGAGAATAAGGGGACAGTTAGACACCATCAGGTCTAAAACAAAAGCTCTTCCATGAAGCAGGTCCATTCAAGAACGCCCTTTATTAAAACCAAAGAACGTATGGGTGCCATACTTTGAAGGTTTCTTCTACTTGATGTTTTCAGTCTTAATCTTGTAATTTCTTGCAGGGTTTTCATATCCCATGTAAGCTTGCTTTTCAATAGCTGTCTGCTAAAGGTTGTTTGAGATAACTGTTTCAAGCGTTAGCTACCTGGAGTGCAGTCAGTTATCTCTATTCTGCTCAGGACTCAGCTGGATGTATTTATTCCCAGCAGATTGAAAATGCTGTTGTCTTCACCTTTTGCTCATAAGCATTTGCCTGATAAGCAAATTCATCTCTGAAGTCTCATCCTTTAGTATTGGTGGTATAAACATCTAGGGGCAATCCCAGGAGAACTCCGTTCTTAAGGAAAATGGCAAAATACAAGAAAGAATTCAGGAGGCCAGGTTATTCCCATCTTTGTAGGAACTTAATGTTTGTTCAGAGTCTTCCACGCCAATTTACACGATTCTGAACTGTGCATCTGTGAATGTTTTTGTATTAATGTGAAGTTTCCCGGGGGTCTTACTTTTGGGGAAGATACGTTTTGAACAGTCATCTCTTGGATCATTCTGTGGAAATAATCCTGCGTATTTTTTACACCTGTACAGTTGTCTGCAGTTTCTCTTCGTTTAAGGTATGCTTAGGTGAGTTACTAGGCAGATCTCTTTCTCGGTTCAGTTGTGCATTCACCACTGTACCATGTTCTTCAGTGTAAGTGAGGGCTTTCAAGTTAGAAGTTTTGCAGTTGACCAGTGTAAGTGCTGCTCTACTGGTGGTTTTCAAACGAAGTAAAAATTCTCTGTGAAATGTCTTGTCCTGGAATCTGAAAATTAAACTCTTCTAAAGACTCACTTCACAACCCTTAAAGGCAATTCAGTTCCAATTCTTCCTTACTTGGGCTTTTAGCACCTACTGCATTTCCTACTGTATGCCCCTCGGATAGTGGCATTGCATGTGTGTTTTATTGTAACTTGTTTAAAAAGCATCAACAATTCAGTCTAGTTTTGCATAGAGGCAAAATACAGGTACAAGATGATCACTATTTAGTGTTTCCTACAAAATGGCACAAAGAACAGAATTTTGCATTTTTTGTAAGTCGGCATAGGCTTGACAGGTGTTCTGTTGCATAGCTTCAAGATTGGAGTGTTCAGAAATGTAGCCTGTGGGATAACTGCTGCAAGATTGAGATGGTCATAGCAGTTGTAAGAAGGAAGTGGACAAGGAGTGGAGAAAAAAGACAGCTGAAGTCTACTGGAATGTGAAGCAGCTGGGTTGTGCCTCGGTCAGTGAAAAAGCAGAAACTGGAAACAATTGCTAAATTTATTTTCAGTGCAAGCAATCGTTTTCCTTGAACCGCAATGACTAAATATATCTATCGGTGTGATTTTTACGTGGTGGTAACTCTTACTGGCTCTTGCTAACCTCCTGGCAAACAGAGAGATGAGCGGAAGTTCGCTGTCAGTCAAGATCGTAACACAAATGTCCCTCATCCAGGTCCATTGCTTCACTTGCAGAGAACATTTCCTATTTGTAAGGGACCTGTAATCTATCAGCATGGCTTTACTTGTTGCAATGTATTGCATGAGTGGAAGAAACCTGGTATCTGTTCCTAGGGAAGGGAGTATTTCTCTAACTGCTTTTTAAGGTTTCCTTGGGGTATTGTTCATCTTTTTGGAAGTTTTGAATTGCAGTTGATACCTCAGCCGATATTCTTATAACTCTATCTGTAAGTGCCTCTGTGCTATGTTAGAAAGGCTCTGATGCAAAGGTGTGGGTCTTTTTTAAAAAATATACGTTAACTCCTTATTTATTCCAAAGTTGAAAGCCTGTGGGTAGAATTGGCAAAATGAGCTTTGCCATTGACTTACAAATCCTTTGAAAGGAAAGCGTTCGATTCCGAAGCTTACAGCATCTTAACTGCAAGTGGACAAGTGGAGGAACATGAAGTGTAAACTTTCTAGACTTTATTTTAAAGAAACCAGAGATGTTATACCTTTCCCTGGCAGAGGCATTTGATGGCTAATCAGATTTAATTCAAGCACTTAATCATTATGTGTATTACAGGAGATGTCTACACAGTTCTCAGTTGGGCTACTGAGAGGTGACAGCTGGAATTGTTAGTTATCATAGCATCTAATTTGGAAATCCTTGTACCCCAGCAAAGGTAAGATGATAGAGAGCATCTCCTGTCTTTGTGCCAGGTAAAACTCCAGAAATGATGTAGTATACTAAAAACAACAAATTACATGTCAGAGCTACAGGTAAAGGTGATTTAATAGCCTCCTTCCTCTCTCCTGCTCCTCACCACACCCATCATTTTGCAGTTTGGATACATGTAGAGGAAATAGCTTGTTCCATTTTCCAAGGCAAACCATCCCAACATTTTTCTGCTGAAACTAGAGATCTGGAGTTTTGGGGTCTTTTGCCGGTTTGCAAAGCTATTGACCTCTGTGTACTGTTGCTTAGCAGTGAAATGAATCCTTCCAGTCTGTATTCTTCCTGTGGAGACTTCACATTACCTGGAGAAAAACCTGTGCGTGGAGAGGGATCCTTCAGCTTCTCAAATTTGTGACAGAACAGGCTTTTCTCTCTGAAAACAATTGAGAATTTATTGTTCTGTAAGTGCCTGAATAGTTGGGAAATTCTGCTGTGGTGTTACATCTGTCTTTTTTTCTTTATTAACGTTAGCAAACTGTATGATTCAGCCATTGTCATGGAAGCAGTATGGAAGGAGTATTAAAATCACATAGCTATTGCAAGAATATTAGCTTTGTTATTTGTCAGTTTTGTCTAGATAACCAAAGCTAGGCTTTCATGGTGTACAGCTGAGAAATATTGGAGACCATAATGGGATGAGGGGATGGTAATAGAGAACAGGTGTCGTTCTCAGTGCTTTAGTAGAGATTAGAGGAAAAGGGAGAGCTGGTTGGAGGAAAACTGGATTTATTCACCTTTGCAAGTTTGAATTTGCAGCCCCACAATTCCAAGGTGCATAAAAAGGTGGCCAGAGAAGGAAAAAGGGGCATCACAAGTGGAGATGTTGATGGAATGGTTGGAAAGACCAGAAAAGGAGTGAGAGGACACGTAAGCCCTGGATGTTAGAAGAGGAGGGAATGGTGGGTTAAGTTGCACACAAGTGAAGTAGATAGGAAAAGGCAGACGGATGACAAAAAGGGAAAGCGGATAAGGAGGAGGCTCCCGGCAGCTTTCACGGGAGTCTGTTCCAAGGCAAAGAGAAGAAGATGAATTTCAGCAATCCAGAAAAGCTGCAGGAATCCTGCAGGTTGGGACGTGCTGCCAAAGGAATGTTCTGCAGTTCTGCTATTCATGTTACTGCAGCCTGACAAATTTACAGCTACATTACCTGACCCATAACATCCACTCTCAAAAATACATTTCCGATCTCTTCTTGTGGTACATGACATTGATGCTGATAGAGAAAGAAATGATGTCCCCACATATTCTGTGAAGCAACCTGAGAAAGCTGATGGATCAGATTATTGGTCTACTTTTATTTGCGTTGCATATTTCAGTTAAAGCTCTTCAGCTTTGAAACAGTCTCTTGATGTTAAATCTGTTTACTGTTTTAGTTGCTACCATAGCTAACCTTCTCTGGAGTTTGTAAGATAATGTTTTCATGTTGAGAGCAA